TTTTCCTTCCTCCTCCTCCTCCTCCTGGGGGTCATCTTGGAGCCCTCTCGAGGATTACTGGTGACCTCTTGGCTCATCTTGGCCCATCTTGGAGCCATCCTCCGCCGTCTGGGGTCCATCTTGAGGACAGCTGGGTCCCCCTGTCTGGAGCCGTCTGGGAGCCATGCTGAGCCCCCAATGAGCTTCCAACACACATTAGGGGTGCAGTGTGGGGAGGGGCGGGGGGGCGTGCTCCGCGTTCTGCGCCCCAGATCATTTCTTTGCGGCTCCAAGGTCGCCCCCTAGGTTGTGGCAAACCCTCCAGTTTGCTTGTCCTGTCTCGAGCCTTCCAATCTATGCTACGCTCTGCGGAATGAGCTCCTGGGGGTCCAGCACGGCCAGGGCCCGCAGGGGGCCCGCCGTACTCTCGTGTTTCCCTAGAGTACACCTTAGGCGATGCTTAAGAAAACCTAAGTTTTCGGCCAGAGTCTCGATTATTCTTAACGTTTCAATGTAAATCTTAAGATTTTAACAGAAAGGTTGGGTTTTTATTCAAGTTCTGAGACTATGAATATCTTAACCCATGATTTCTTAAGCATTTCGCAGGGTGTAGAGGGGATCGGAAGAGAGCGAGGCGACAAAAGACTCAGAACAGGACAAAAACACATAAAGACAAAGGGTGTTATGGGTTTTACGCCGGAAAAGGGGCGTCGTTGAGAGGGTGCCTGGCACGGATGGCGGGGATCGGGCTTGGCGGCGGTGTCTGGAGCTGGCGGTGTGCGTGGCAGGTGCGTTGAGCTGGTCGCCGTCTTAGACGGGGAGGAGGGCAAGGACAGGGCGCCCGGGGTGTGGCCAGCAAGCCCAGAGGCTCTACGGCTCTGCGCACCCACCGCGGGCCAAATGCGGGCGCAGGGGCACAACTCGAGCAGGGACTGCCGGCCACGCTGTCCGTGCGGACCACGGGCGGGGGAGCCGCGGCGGCACGGGGGGGTGCCTCACCACAGAAGGCAAGCGGAAGCAGGGGTAGAGTACAGAGGAGAGTTGGCCTCCGTTTCTTCGGCGGGCCCCTCCTTCACAGGACAGCGGTGTCTGCTCGGCTGCCTCCTCAGGGACTGACAGACGAGCGAACAGGCACTCCCCCGTCCTTCACAGCAACTCCGCCTCACCCCCCACCCAGCCGCCGCCAGCAGGCGAGGCCAAAGCTCCGATCATGCGAACGGTCCCACCCGCGAGCCCCAGGGATGGTAGCAGCCCAGAACGCACAGGCGGAGAGTATAAGCCGTCACGTCAAACTCGCACCAACGTGCCATATCATGATGTCGACGCATCAGGGAGGAGCATTCCGAGTCGACACGATAACCACGCACACGCAGCAATGGCATGTCACAATGTTGTTGTTGCCCTCCTGCTGGATGCTGTGTCGCCCAGGTAACTGCCCTGCTACATGAAATCGCCGATCTTCACCCAATAGCCAATCATGCCCATGACGCCAGCTTCAGTAACGAAGCGCAGAAACCTCTGCGTATTCAGGTGCCTGCGGCAAGTCCCGCCACCGTATCAGCCCAGCATTCTGGATGTTAATTGTTCGGGGGGTCGCGCGAGGCCGTCACGTCTGACACCTCGTGTCCTCAAGCCTGGCGGGGGCGAGATCATGATGATTGAGTTTGTGATGAGGAGGATGAAGATGAGGATGAGGATTGAGATGATGAGGATGATGTGGAGGAGGAGGAGGAGGAGGAGGAGGAGGAGGAGGAGGAGGAGGAGGAGGAGAGGAGGAATAGGAGAAGAAGAAGAAGGGATGAAGAGGAAGGCCGTGACAAGTGACGCCGTTCGTCTTCACTTAGTGAGGAGCTCTCATGAAACTCGTTTGGGTCATCCTGTAGCCGTCGCGGTCTCCTGCGATGCAGTCTTGGGTCCCCTGGGGGCCCTGTTGAGCCGTTGTGGAGCCCTCGTTGGCCCTCCTGGCGGTTATCTTGGGACCCTCTTGGGCAGACTTGGGCGCATTTTGAGCAGCCTTGGAGCCCTCTTGGGTCGTTTTGGGTCCCTCGTGGGGGCCCCTTCGGCAGTCTTGGGGTTTTTGTGTGGGGGGCCTCTTGGACCGTTTTCGGGACGTCGGGAACTCGAAAAGCCGAGAACTCCAGAAACATTGAAGCACCTTAGGAACATCCCTGGTTGTTGCCTCTCGGGGCCCTCGTGGAAGGCTGTTGGTGCTCTCTTGGGACGTCTTGACGGCCTCTTGCGCAGCTTTAAGGCCATCTTGGGCCGTCTTGACTCGTCTTCATCCGTTTGGGAGGCATACTGATTTTGGGAGCGCGAGTTCGTCGTAGTGAACGGGGGAGTGTGGCCCCGGGATTGCGAATCTGTCGCATGTGCGAGGCATTTTTTCTGGCCCGGGGAGCGGGGGCGGTGTGTGCAGGCCAGAGCGGGTAAGAGTGGGATGGTGGTGGCTCCTAGAAGGTTGCAGGCACCCTGCCAGGCAGCACCTGGCATTCTAGCACGCTTCAACGTGCCAGGGGGCGCGGTGGAGGATATGTATACAACCGTCGGTTCCCTTCTTTGTTCAGAACAACAGCCCCCGGATCACACATCACATTCAATACTTTGGTAGTGTTATTCTGCTGCGGACGGGGCTGCATGTGTGCGATCGATGTGTTCGAAAACAGACATGAATAGATCGTTCATGCCTTCAATAACAAGCATTATATGTTTTGCCAGGGTCGGATCATTTGCGCAGTTACAAACCTGTTCCATTCGAAACTTCTAGGGCATCAGGTTCACTGCCCGCTGGTTAACACGTGTCTTCGCACTGGCTTTCAATATGATGCGTGAGGTCGTATGGTGAACCACTTCTCTCATCCACTTTGGAGCCCCATTTGCAAACCAAGTTTGGGCGGTGTCCTTTCGAGCATTCGCTCCTCCATCTGGTTGAAGAGACTGGCTGTTTCGATCCGTCGGTGTCATCAGAAGAAGAGCGACATATGTAAGGATCCCCCGTGTTGGCCTCGCTTACGCTATCAATGTGATGCTGCCCGTTCGCAACACTGAACGTCTATTTGTATTTGTCGTGTGGAGCGGCATGATGGCATCGACATCAGTGCGTTTCCTGTCTGAGTCGTGGCGTGTGGCCTTGTTCAAAGCGATGCCATGTCGGACAAAGTCCCCACTGCCTGCTTGGGTATCCCGCTATCTGTCGCCAGTCGATTCGCCCAAGAGTTCGGACGGGCCAATGCCAGTACCAGAATCATTGCCTTGCCCATCACTTCGAAATCTGTCACCGATGTCAAGCATGCTCGGGCTCCAAGAAGAGTCCAGCCTGGACGCTCTAATAGTGCCAGCCGATGCATACTGCTCATCAGCAGAGCTGTGCTCACCTCCCCTTGACGTCAGCTTCAAGGCGCGTCCTCTCTGTGCCGACCCGATCGAAGGTGCCAGCTTTTGCGCCTCGCTGCCTGAGAAGTGCGGTGCACCCGCGCCCCTTCGCGCTGGCGAGGACGCGTGCTCTCCGTGCCGGCGCCAGGGCGCCTTGCCTGCCGGCCGCACTCGGCAGCCATAGTACTGTCCTCGCTCCCCCCTGGAGCCCTGGGTGGCACGGCCCGTGCCAGGTCGTGGAGAAATGTGCGCCGTGCTTCGTGCAGGTCGGTCTCCCTGGGAGCCTCTCTCTCAACGGCGACTAGGAGGACGAGATACTATAGGTGGGTAAGAATTGGCAGCGAAGCGTGAGCATGATGAGCAGGAGGAGGAGGAGGAGGAGGAGGAGGAGGAGGAGGAGGAGGAGGGAAGGAGGAGGGGAGGAGGAGGAGGAGGGGGAGGAGGGAGGAGGAGGAGGAGGAGGAGGAGGAGGGGGGAGGAGGAGAAGGAGGAGGAGGAGGAGGAGGAGAGGAGGAGGAGAGGAGGAGGAGGAGGAGGAGGAGGAGGAGGAGGAGGGTGCCTTCAACTCCTTGTGTGTGCCGAGAGGAATTCAAGCCCAAAAGAGCATCCCCAGCTTCCAGCGCCGCTTCATCCCCACCGCCAGGGGCCATGCCGATGGGGCGCTTCTGCCGCCACTCGGTGCCATGGGGAACGCCAGCTATTCACCGACACCAGACATGGCCTGGTCCATCCCGGGCCAGGGAAGATGGAATGGGGGAGGCAGAAGGTAGTGTGATGATGCCGTGCACGTCGTGGCTCAAGTCGCCCCCTGTCGCGCGACCATACCTTTCCGATGAGCGTGGCGAAGACGAGGCATACTACATCGCCGAAGCAGCATTTCCTCTTTCACGCAGAATCTGCGCGGGACTCGGGCTACAACAACATTTCGCCCCCTTTCGCGCGGCCCCGCTGCCGCTTCCGCGTTCCCGCCATTCGGCGAGCGAAAAGTGTGTACCGCGCTGGAGCGGGAACGCCACTTCCAGCCGAAATCCGAACGGGTCTTGGCCGAGGGCGACCCCTCGCCCGTCCGCGCGTGGCCGCGCCCCCAGCGACTCGGCGGGGGAAACATACGCGCCGCGCGCCAGCGGGAGCGCCAGCTTCGGGCGGAATCTGCGCGGCGCCCGGGCGGGGGCGACATGCTGCATGCTCGCAACATTCCGCCCTGTCGCGTTCGAGGTGCGCCCCGTCCCACTCTCCCGCCTCACACCCTGCAGCGCCGACGGCAGAACGCCCATACCGAAACGAGGAGAACCGGCTCCATGGGTCTCGGAGGGGTTGGGTGGAGCACCCTGGATGCGGCGGCCATCGACCGGCTCAGGGGCAGCGCGGGAGCAGATGCGAATGAGGAATACGGATAAGCCATTTCACAAATCTTGGGCCTGAAAGACTCCTCCTCCTCCTCCTCCTCCTCCTCCTCCTCCTCCTCCTCCTCCTCCTCCTCCTCCGTCTCCTCCTCCTCCTCCGTCTCCTCCTCCTCCTCCTCCTCCTCCTCCGTCTCCTCCTCCTCCGCCTCCTCCTTGTTGCTGGTGTTGTTTCCTCCTCAGGTGCCGCCCCCCGCCCGCCTCCAGCTGCTGACGGCCTCGGGCCGCCTCGCGGCCGACTACTGGGTGGAG